TCACTTTTGTTTATTAATAAATCCAGAGTAAGTGATTAATACCTGTGGGAGCAAATAGCTGTGCATATCTCTCTATCAGTGTTATAGAGGGCAGACAATTTATGAATTTACCCTGTATAAGCTTTATACACAGTAAAATGGATTTATTTGGGGTTCAGGCTCCCAGAAAGGCTGAATACTGGGTGCTGGGGAAGTCCCTGTTAACTGAGAAGCTCCTGGGCTGAGTAAATCTCAGTTTCAGAGAACTGCAGAGAGGCATGGCCCAACCCCTCTGGGTCTGTGCTGGAGCTGACTGGAGTGTCTAACTCAGCAAGATAGGAGTGGAGGGGCGCATGTTCTGGCAGGAGGATTGTTCTCAGTGGTATCCCAGCTCATCGAGTGACAGTCTCGAGGGGAGTCTCTGTGACTGAACCCGTCACAAACACATCATGGAACAGGCAACCCAAATACCAGAGGAGAACCTGATGCAATACAGTACTGCTCCACACACACACTGACTGCACACCCCCAGTTGTTACCTATCACCCCACATTAGAACCCATATGGGGTATCAAACAATTACAACCCATATTTGATGGGGAGCATACCCACAAAGAAATCTTTCCCAAACTTCCTCTTCTGGCCTTCAAGCAACTCAACATCCTCACACTCATCATCACCAGGACACACCATTTCAAAGCAGCATCAGACTATCAGAACAACAGATGCAAAACCTGCAGCTATATATCCACTGCTACAATGATCATACTCCCCCTCCGCACACACTTTCAAGAGCCATAGGTCCTACACATGCCTATCACAATATGTGGTATCAGTGGCGTGGCCAGGTGGAAAAAACAGGGGGAATGGAGATTTAAAAAAGGCGCCACCCCCTGGTACTCACCCGGCGGTGCTCCAGGTCTTCAGCAGCACTTCAGCGTCGGGTCCTTCACTCGCTCCGGTCTTCAGGACCAAAGGACCCTCCCTCCCCGCCGCCGCAATGCCGGTCTTCGGAGCGAGTGAAGGGCCTGACGCCCAAGTGCTGCTGAAGACTCGGAGCGCCGCCGGGTGAGTATCAGGGCGTGGCGCCTTTTTTTATCTCCACTCCCCCTGACCTGCCGCCCCAGACCCGGAGCGCCGCCGGATGAGTAAAAATTTAAAAGGCGCCGAAGAATTAAAAAGGTGCCACTTCTGCTCGGTGGGGGAGCGGCCGCTGCCCCGCTCCCCCCCCGGCTACACTACTGTGTGGTATACCTCCTCGAGTGCATCAAATGCCCCAACAATAACTATGTGGGTGAAACCAAACACTATGCTCTCGAATGAACTCGCACAGAAAAGTGATAAGACAAGACCATCCTGTCACCCGGGGTACACACTTTTCACAAAGCGATCACTCCATATCCGACCTCTCAGTCCGCATCCTCAAAGGAAACCTGCACAAAACCTTCAAAAGACGAGCCTGAGAACTTAAATTCATAACTTTGGCTGGACACTAAAAACATGGATTTAACAGAGACACTGGTTTTATGGCTCATTACACCAATTGGTCTCCCACCTGCTAAGTCTTAATTGCCCACTTCATTTTAAGTGGTCTTATACAGCTTGCATGAACCCCTTATGCTTAACAACCTGCCCCTCTTGTATTTACTTTCAACACTCTGGTTACTTGTTCAAGACTTGAGGAAGAGCTCTGACACTCAAAAGCCTGTTCCTTCCACCAACAGAAGTTAGTCCAATAGCAGATATTACCTCACCTATTTGTCTCACTCATATCCTGGGATCAACAGGCCTACAACAACACTGCAAACTATAAATTACAGAGATGTGCCATAAATGCACATTCCATCTGCCTCACGTGCACTCTCTATCGTCTGATCCCATTTCCTCAGGACTGGGCCTAACATTCCAAAATCTGAAGTTCTTTAAACAGGTGTCTTGTTTAATAAAAAGTCAATCTGCCATGAAAATATTTTCTCCTCTCCATGCACCCACCTCTCTTACATTCATTGACTGTTCATTCTAGGCCAGCAGATGGTTTATGATCTGATATTGTTTGACTCATCAAAGCTAGAAATGGGCATTTTGTGCCGTTGTGAAAGGGTGATTCCACTTTCCCCAAGAGGGGGCTCAACCCTTGTTTTGATCCTGAAAGGTCCTCAAACTAAGGCACTAACTTAGAAAACCTTGCTTAAATCATTTTTAAGATGTACTGTAGTTTTCTCTCCCTCAAAAGCCTGGACAGAAGAAACCACCACACCTGATCAGATCTGGTTCTTCTAGTCCAATATCCTGCCTCTGACAGTGACCACTGCCAGATGCTTCAGAGGAAGGGACAAGAAACATGGACAAAAATATGGAATAAACAGCCCACAGCAGCCATTTCCTATTAACCCCAGGCAATCAATGGTCAACACACATGCAGAAATCTGAAGATTTCTATACTTGTATCCTATATAATGTAATTGCTAGTGTTATCACTAGGCCCAAAGTAACTAAGGCTCGTGACCTTCAGTGATGGAATACAAACATGCAGTTCCAACCCTTCTTTAACATTTTAAGCCTTCTTCCCTACTAAATACAAAACACACAAAGGTATCTGTGCTATAAAGGTTTCACAATCACTCTTTTGGGGTGACCTGCACTGTGGTTTCTCCAATCAAGAGTAAAGCAACAATCCCAAACTCATGCTGAGAAAAACTTGATACCGCAGCTCAGCATGTACTGCTAACATATAATCATACTACATACGTGTACAAATAGTGATATGCTATGCACTGGGAATGTACTGTGTATGACCCAGTGAACAAATATTTACTGCTTTTGTACATCACTGACTCTGTTAGACGAGAATTAACTAAATTTCTCCTCCTCACATCATTAAATGTGAATGTACCACACTAACTGCTACAGCAATTTGAATAAACATCCTGTGAAATATTTCTGTTTGAATGCAAGTTCTGGATTATTTATTAGTATGGTTCTCCATATCTGTAATGTTGTTCAGGTGCTGTATTTTTATCTTCAGAAGGTTAATATTTAAAATAGAGGTGAAGATACCCATCATCTTATCAGAACCTTTTTCATGAAGATCAAATAAATTAGCTATTCTGGATGATCTTATGAATAAGAGATAGTCAGTGATTAGCTAGAACCCATGTAACTTTCTCTTTTGATGGAGGAAATAGGTAAGTGCCTAAGTTTCCAGAGCAGTGTGTGTGTACAGATTTCTTGGACATCTCTGCACTGTGTATGACTGAAGCATACTGCTGCAGGTGAGTATCCAGCTCTGCAGTTGTCAGTCTCAAATGTCTCATCTCTGGCTGCCTTTATCTACAATATTTTAAAGACATGTCAGACTTTTAAAAAAACAAATGTCACACCATGGCCTCTGTTCCACACAGCGGCTATTACTAACAATTACATTTAATTGGAGTCTGAGTCATTCAATTTCCAGAAACAATAGGCAATTATACATATGTCATACCACCCAAGAGCAGGATAGGAGTTTATCTGCTAGAACAAAAGCATTCAAACACAAGCACTCTTATTTATAGAGAGGCAAGTTCAAAGTGCACATGGTTTAAGACTCCAGGAGCAAAACTTCCTTTTTATTTATTTATATCATTGTGCTGCAATGGGACAGTTTCCATAGAGACGAGGAAGGCAGTTGCCACCAAGACGGAGGGAAGTGGCATGATTTTGCATAACTTTTTACTGGTGCTTGGCTGTGGGAATGCCAAAGAGCAAGTCTGGAGGCCAGCTATTTGCCAAAGAGGAAAAGGCCGCCAATGAAAAGGGGCTTCTCTCGCCAGCAGGGGTCACTGATGAGAAGAATACAAGGAAATACTTTGCACAGGGGGTAGTCAGTTTACAGGATTCACTGTCAGAGGAGGTCACAGAATCAAATACCATGACCACTTTGTAAATGGATGGATAATTTGACTCTATGATCATTGTTTTATTTCAGAAAAGAAGTCAGAGGGAAGGGATCTTTTAGCTTATTTAACACTCTCCAGGCCAATGCAAGATTTTCCCATTTAGCACATCGGACTTCACAAGTTTTATTTTTAGATTTTCCATGTATTTTGTTTGAATAGTTTTGAACTTGGGTTTAAATCACAACTTGAGTCACAAGTAGAAACAAATCTGATGGTCTCATCCTACTCCTGGGTAGATGTTTATTGGATTCTTAAAATCACTTTGTATTTTGACACAGTATGCTCAGAAGTGATCCAGGACTGGAATCATGGAGGTAGTGGAGGAAGTCGGGTACTGTACAGGTCAGGACAAACATGTATTGCCAGAGCTGGATTGGGAAGCTTGCACAATGACTTCCTATCACGTGTCTTGAGCTAGCAACTGGTTTAGCCCTTGGCTTTCATGAGCATTAGATTGACATACAAATGCATGCAGCAGCAGTGTCCTAAAGTTAATCACCTTTAGAAAAGAACAGGCTCTGGATTTCATTTTTTGCCAGAGAGGCTGATTTAGTGGTTTGTGTCATGCACCTGTGAAGGTGCAGAATTAGACTCCTTAGAACCAACCGTTCCAATTCCAGAAAAGATGGCTCAGTCCTTAATCCTTCCAAGATAGATAAAATAAATTTAATGGAGCTTTGCACTTGAGATGCTTTGCAAACAACCTTAACCTTGTCCCCCACCATGTCCCTCTCTGTATGGACACTAGAGATCCCTCAGCACTAAGAGTAGATATTTGCCCTAGTGTGCTTGGTTAAAATTACACCCTCTGCCCCTCAAAATACACACACAGTTGAACTGGGTGCTTGTCCCCTTCCACCTAGAGGTGGATGACATTGCTGTTCAGTGCTTCTGTATATACAATCTGTATAGGGATTTCGGATCCTACAAGGTGAGCTCACCAGTTAACATATCTGTGTGTCTTTAAACTGACACCATAAAGGGGCCAAAACTTAAATAATAAAAAAGATTATTAAAAATCTGTACAGGTTTTGTTCTCTGAAATCCTCTGTTCAAACAAAACAGATAGAAAATGGGTCTCACGTCTCGCAGATCTGGTAATATTTCTCATCCTGAATGCCATCCTGGATAGGTACGTTGACACTGTAATATCGCCCCTTCCCCAGGCCAATGTCAGACACATCTCCTGTTCCTGAGCAATAAAAAACAAACCCAAACTATCAGTCAGCTAAGGAGAAAATGAGCTCAATAACAGCAGCTGTACAGATCAGAGATGTCTTCCACAGGATGGGAAGAATTGATGCACAGCACACCTTCAGAGAAGTCTGCACTCTACTTCCAACAGGGGAGGTTTTTGAGTTACTGGTTTGAGCATTGGCCTGCTAAACCCAGGGTTGTGAGTTCAATCCTTGAGGGGGCCATTTAGGGATCTGGGGCAAAAATTGGGGATTGGTCCTCTTTGAGCAGGGGGTTGGACTAGATGACCTCCCGAGGTCCCTTCCAACCCTGATATTCTATGATTACCTATGATTACCTTGTTCAAGAAGTATCTGCCCTGGGGCAGATACTTCTAAGATTTCAAACCCTGCAAGCTACAGCCCCAGAGAGAGTTCAGAGACTTCAACACATTAGCAACAGTGGGAGAGGGAAGTATGTACGAACAGACCTACACACAGGTTGCTGCAACTGACAGTGAAAGGGGTTTTGGTAGAATCTGATGTTAAAGGGAGACAGTTAAAGGGATACTGCTGAAGTTTTGGATAAAAGCAATGACCTATCCAAGTGCTAAGGCTCTATATTCCCTAAGGTGTATAATAAATACCACTCTGACAGAAAGAAAGATGGCCCAGTGGTTAGGACTTGGGAGATTTGGGTTTGATTTCCACCTCTGTCACAGACTTCCTTAGGCAAGTCACTCAGTCTCTCTGTACTCAGCTTCCCATCTGTAAGATGGGGATAATATTTCCTTTCTCACAACTACTGTCTGGCTTGCCCAGCAAGACTGTTAGCTCTTTAGGGCAGGGACTGTCTCTCACTATGGGCGTGTCTTCACTGCAGAGAGAACTTGGGCTCTTGCTCAGCTGTGGCCCCTAACCAGGCTCCTATCCACATGCACACACCTCTGACCCAAATGCAGTGGTGCTTTCCCTGGGCGATAGCTGGCTCATCTGGCAAAAGACTAAAGCCTGAATACTGCTTTCACTTGGGCTGCTAACTTGCCTACTTTGCCGTGATGATGCAGGCCATTTGAACGCTGATAGTCTTCCATTACCTTCCCACAATTCCCCCCCATGTTCTCTGAAGGACAGACAAGTTCTCCCACAATTCACTGGAAAAGAACCAGAGAGCAGCTCAGTTACTGCAGTGCTAAGCACCATGCAGCATGCCCCCAGAAGTCCTAGCAACACACACAGGGGAGCCCAGCACCAGTGTGGACACAGAAACTTAAGTATGGATTTGCAGTATGGCTGTCCACACCCAGGCTAGGCCAACCCAGATGCCAATCACCCGAATTAATTCTGCAGTGAGAAGCGTCTGTACAGCACCCAGCACAATGGGTCCTGTGGGGGCCTCTGGGCATTATCATAATACAATAATTGGACAGAGCCTGCAAAAATATGAAGCCTGATCCACAACAAAGCTACACTCAGGGCTTCAGATTTTCACTTTTAACCAACAAACACCAATAAAAAACCCAGAAGTGTTACTCGTATTTAAGGCCTTGTCTACACAGAGCAGTGATGAAGACTACAAAGGTGTGATTTCTAAATTACACCACCACATTGCACATTAATTAGTGAGTGTAGACCCTCCTGGTGCACACTAAACATTCCCTAGTGCGCTTTAATGTAGTACTATTTAAAACAGGCTCTGGCATGGGAGGAGGCAGTGTGAAAGGCTCTGGCAGCTGAGAGTTGCTGGAGCCTTTCCCCACTGCAGTAAAAGGCTCTTGCACTGGGAGGCAGAGAGGAGACATATACTACATATATTCATATGATATACACATAATATAGACATTTTTATACACACACACAACCTCATTACAGTATATACAAAGAAAAAGCCCCCCAACCCCTGAAACATGGAACTCAAAAGTTGCTAAAAATAAACCCTGAAAAGTGAAATTATTAATCTCTGAAAAGCAGAAGCCCTAGCTCTACTGTTAACACCAGCTAAGAATCTGGCCTGTGGTTTGAAGGCCTACAGCTATTCTCGGAGCTGCGCAGGCATCTTGATGCTGCTGGCACACATGCAGTGAAGGTACAACCTCAGAGGAGATGCACTATTCAGGCTCAGTCCTGCAAGGCACCGAGATATCTGGCCCCAATCCAGCAAAGCACATAAGCATGTGCTTAACTTTAAGTACGTAAGTCATCCCAGTGAAATCAATGGGACTATTCAAATGCTCAAAGTTAAGTACATGCTTAAGTGCTTTGCTGGATTGGGGCCAGAGGGCTCAGCACATGGCAGGACAGACCTACATGGGTTGCACAGCACCTATGAACAGGATATGGTGACGATAAAACTTGTCATAAGAGGTTTCTTGGTCAATATCATGGAAAATCATTTCCTAACACTAAACTGGAATGGATTTAGAAAGATTCACTGATCATTTAAGATCTTCACTGACTTTACATTTCACTCAGCTCAGACAGTAAAACTAGACTCGCCAGCTTCACGCAGGGTTTCTATAGTCAGTTACACTTTCTGCACAGCACTGTTGCGTTTGGGTTGCCAACATTGCAGGGGACATCTGAATTACATTTTCCTTCAATTACAAAAGCTGACATGAATTGAGGCTTTTAAGGTTTATTTAACACTAAACCTAAAAAATTCATTAAATGTTCCCTTTAAACAAAAAAGCTATTTTAAAAATTTTACCTCTGATCGGAGCAAACAGTGTGTCACATGAAAAAGCGGAAAACACTGGTAAGAGTTGCTTCTTGATTATCATACACATTGTAAGGAGAGTGGTCACTTTAGATAAGCTATTATCAACAGGAGAGTGGGTTTGTGTGTAGGGGGGTGGGGAGAAAACCTGGATTTGTCCTGGAAATGGCCCACCTTGATTATCATACACATTGTAAGGAGAGTGATCACTTTACATAAGCTATTACCAGCAGGAGAGTGGGGTGGGGGGAGAGAAAACCTTTTGTAGTGATTAACTCCCATTTTTTCATGATTTGTGTGTATAAAAACATCTTTTGTATTTTCCACAGTATGCATCCGATGAAGTGAGCTGTAGCTCACGGAAGCTTATGTTCAAAAAAATTGGTTAGTCTCTAAGGTGCCACAAGTCCTCCTTTTCTTTCTATACATCTAATCATATCACAACTGAAAGCAGGTAAAGAGGACGACTGCAGACGTTTCTTGACAGAGTCCTGCAAAGCTTTCACTAGTGCCAATAGAGCCCTCCCTAGCCATTGACAGGCTAACTCATACAGTATGTCTATATTCACGGTGGCATGTAAAGTACAGACACTGCCCACCCAGCTAGCATGGGTATAACTAGCAATGTAGAGACGGTGAGACAGGACTTAGACAAGAAGGTTAGAGTGCCCTACATGCCTGAACCCCCACGGTAGATATTCGACACGGGCTGTGTACAGCCCAAGCAGTGCCTCACATGCCTACACCACTATTTTTAGCAGCATAGTGTCCCCGCTGTCTCCTCACTGCCAGAGCCTTTCACTGTGCCATATAGTGTCTGTACTCGACACGCTGCAGTAAGTGAAGACATAGCTCTAGAGATTCCCACGTTAGAGCCTCACCGCCTACCTCTCTTGAAAAACGCACAAGCAAAGGATGCCTTGCATCTCATCGCATTGTCCCCTCTCCCCTCTAAAGGTATACAGAGGGTGAGGTTGCCCTCAGTGCTCCTTCTGGGCTCATTCAAGCACTGCTGATGCTCTACTTTTTTCTCTGCTACACAGCAGGACACCAGCCCAGGCAGAGAGCGGCAGCACAGTGGAATGGACCCAGCAGTGGCTGTGCCCTTGAGGTATAGTGTCGGGAAGAAGCTGAGGAAGTGCATTACAGAGTGTATGGGCTCCTCTTATATTGTTTTCTGGGTAGAGAGAGGATTCAGACACAGATGGGTGGTGGGAAACCTGGAAAGAGTGAAGGGGACAGGACATAACCCAAGCGCAGAAACTGCTAGTTAGTGAAGCCATAATAAGATTGCTTACCTGGGAAAAATCCTGGTGAAAACTTATGCAGAGACACAGTCATGACTTTGGAGGTGAAACTAAAGGCATCTTCCACACCTAACAGGGAGAGAGAAAGAAACTCAGGTGTCACTTACTCACATAAACTACACATTACAAAGAAAACACAAGAGCTCACCTCAAACAAGCAGTAGGGGAAAGGGAGAGAATGCGCAAAAGGCAGACATGACACAGTAAATCCATCCTTAACAAATGGAGATGAGTTCAAATGTGGCGTGGATGACAAGTGAAATGAGTTTTACTGGTCTCAACCTAATCATCGGTGAATGCATCTCCACATCACAAATCATTGCAAAAGTCAGCAGCACTGGTATTGTCTGCTCAGACTGGAAGAGCAGAGAACAGCCTGGCAGCTCAGAATTAGGGTGCCCCAGGACAAACCTGTCCCTGATTATAACCAGAGTTAATGGTCCATCCCTTTTAGCAGCACTCCAGTTCACCAAGTCTCTTTTTAATATACATAGACACTGGGAAAGAAGTTGCAGAAGACTTAACACAAACCAAATGTGGGGGGGAAATGGACCAAAATGAAACACACCATAAAAATTAGGAGAGCAGGAAATGTTAAAAAGTGTTGAAATAATGGCCCCAATGCAGAGAGCAGCTTCAGTCAAGGCCCGTTCCGGATTTTGTTTTATAGAATCATCATTTAGTATGGATTGCTGCAACACCAAAAATCTGCATTGACAACATTAAGCAATTAAGCCCCAGGATTGGCCATGACACAGTCCTGCGTCCTGTATGGAAGGCAAGGGGCAGTGAGGAAATCCTCTTGCTGGAGACCCTTGGCGGAATGGCTTAATAGAATTAGAGCTTGTTAATACAGAGCTTATTGTTTTTAATATTCCACCACTGCTCAGAACATCACCACAGGGCCTTGTGTTTTAATAATACAGAGCAAGCACCAGGAGTTGGGAGAGCCATACAAGGCATCTCCTAACACGAGTCAGCAACTAGCCCTAGGTGCTCAAAGGTATTTAGGCACCTAAACTCTTACTAAAATCAATGGGAGTTAGGTGCTTAAATACCTTAAAGACCTGGGCCTAAGTGAATTGAGGGAACCTCACCTTGCTAAGTGGAGAAAAAGCCATTCTTTACAGCAGCGGTTCTCAAACTTCATTGCACTGTGACCCCCTTCTGACAACAAAAATTACTACATGACCCCAGGAGTGGGGACTGAAGCCTGAGCTTGCTGCCCTGGGTTGGGGGGCCCAAAACCCGAGCCCCACCGCCCCAGGTGGAGGCACTAAAGCCGAAGATCAAGGGCGTCAGCCCTGGCCAGCGGGCACGTAATCTGAGCCCTGTTGTCCAGGGCTGAAGCCCTTGGGCTTTGGCTTTGTCCCCAGGTGGTGGGGCTCAGGCTTCAACTTCAGCCCCAGGCAGCAGGGCTTGGGCTTCAGCCCTGGACCCCAGAAAGTCTAATGCCAGCCCTGACAATCCCATTAAAACAGAGTCCTAACCCACTGACCCACAGTTTGAGAACCCCTGCTTTACAGCAAGATGAGAGCTAGCACCTCTGGCTTGTGAAAGCTGCACTCTAGACATCCTCCTCCATACATGAGTCTGTTTGCAGGGCCCCAGTGCCTCACCACTCTTCACTTCCCACCAGCAGCATTGGCGAGGAGACATGGGCTATGGCGCTGATGACACCCCAGCCTGCCCTAGCTCTTCACTTATATCAACCCAAGTGAATCAGTCATGTGCTCTACCAGGGGTCAGGTAGAGATCGGGGCCTGGATCTGGCCTAGCTGACAAAGGCTCAACTCACTGAAGACTGCAATGATACTGGTAGATTGGGGAAAACAATGAAAAGATTTGGCCAGAATTATACCTGTCCCTCTGAATGCGTATCTGCCATCTTAGGATCTGGCTAGATCCCCAGACATTGCAATCAAGACAGCTGTTTCACAACTCCATTAGAAGGCTGGGACTTTTTTGGATGCCACTAATCCACATGTTTATTACCTTGACCTGAGGGTACCACCGTGCATTCGACATGGGAGAGTACCTTAAACCAACTAGCAAATCCAAGTGTGTACAGACTGCAGCATCCCACTTGCTATGCAGGGTATCAAGACAGAACACCAGAGCTCCTAGATCTACACTGGTTTCTGGAAATCATGTAAAGGTGTTGGCTCTGACCCGTTAAGCTCTGAGTGGTTTGGCCCCTCCCATTTAAGAGAACCTCTCAGTCCTCGTGCTGTACTGCTGGAGTTTAGCTCTAGTGCATCTGCTGATTTCAAGTCCCCTTGGTGTTAAAGAGAAGGATCTACTGGCAGGGTCTTCTTCTAGAGGAGCCCTCAGCAGCATAGCCTCTTCCCCCATACCTAAATAGTCCAAAGTAGCCTGGATCTGCCGAACTTCAGGGCATGATGCAAATCTCATCTATTTTCACAGCCTGAAGAGCAGCTCTCATCACCCTTCTTCTATGGGGCAGCGGAACTGCTTTCTTTCCCTTAGTTGTAGTTGATTAATAGCAGGGATGTTTTTCTAAAAGTTATGCTCTAGTTTAAACAGCAGTTCTGCAAGGGTAGTCCAGTGGCATGCATTACACAGGAGCCCAGACTAGGTGATCACAGGTGTCCCCTCTGGACTTGCAATCTGTGCAAGAGCAGTAATGGGGCGAGATGAGGCTGTTCATTTGTGTACATTTTGTTTGAAGAAGTGTATTTTTACTTTATGGCTGAGGTGTCAAGAGTTCAGCACTGGGGCTTTTCATATGATTTTATAAACCCAAACAAACAGGCACAAAGCCTGCCCACCTGCCACTTTATCTTCAAACTGCTTTGGGCAATCTCTATTGCAGTAACAGCCCCTCAGCGATCCTGGCTCCCGCAAAGCTTCCCCAAAGCACTGCCCTGCCAGGACTGCTTAGCAGCCCAAATGGCGGCCTTACCATCCCCATGATGCAAGTCCAAGTCAATATAGAGGATGCGGTCGAATTTCTGACGCAGCCTCAGGATGCCCAGGACAGCGTCATTTAGGTAGCAAAAGCCAGAAGCTTCATCTCTGCAAGGAAACATTCAGGAAGTTAAACATCCCCAAGTGGAGACAAGACAGTTGTTCTCCCCAACCTTTGCCCCCTGCACCCTCCACAACCCCCATCCAGCAGCATGGCATCCATCTTGTCTGGACTAAAAGAAGGAGCACTAAGGCACGGCTGTCAACTAGCCCCACTGGTCAGGAGCAGCAACGTGAGAGCCAGCCACAAGACACACAGAGTATCTGATCAGTTACATGGGACTTTGGAAACCTGGGCTCGATGTCCAGCTTGAAATGTTAAATATGAGGTTGCTGGTCTTGTCCCATACCAAAACAGACATCATGGCCTCTGGTGGCTTGAGAGACTGTGCTCGAGTGGCCCAGGGATGAACAGCAGAGGGAAGTACAGAGCAGCTAAACACAAAAATTCAGCTGCCATTAGCCTCTTGCAAATCTAAAACACTTTAAGTGAATTTGCTGCTACTGAAAGGTGGCAGATTGACAGTCCAGTGCCTAAAACTCCTCTGTCTGCGCACAGTACTGAGACACTGCAGCACAATCTTCCCCCTGCCAATGCACCTCAGCCCTACCTTGGAGAGACATATCCCGCCTTTCTCCCACCATGGAGGTCTACAAGCCCAAGCTAATCTTTGTAGGCAGTCTCAGCTGATTGGCTAAAAGTGAGCAGTCTGGCGCTCTGGACTCCTGCTGCTAGGAACTCCCCCAAGAACTCCGACACCCAACAGATAAAGCCAAAGTACTCAGCATTGGCCTTACTTCAAGGATAGCAATCAAACCACTGCTGTCCTGGGCTGGATCCCACTCCCACCCAGTCTCCATTTAGTTTTGATGGTTGAAATCCACCTCATAGCTTGCACATGCAAGAAGTGTATATCCCCAATGAAGTGTAACAATGCAGCTCAGAGGAAGAGGAGTGCAACTTTAAACACTCCTCCCCCTCCAGAAAATTCACCAGCGAGGGAGTCATTGGGGTGGGAATTAAGCTGCTGGTAGGAATGGCTTCCTTCCTCCCCCCATGGAAAGGAGGGCCCATGAAATTAATGTGAAACATGCTTTCCTTGCTCATGTGTATCTGCCACATTGTCATATAAATGGAGGAAATGCAAGCTGCTGTAGGGAAACTGCTGTCCCCAGCTAGTGCATGGGACTTTTACATTCCCAGCACTGCCTCTGCAGAAAAGTCCTATTTTTCCTATCCCAGGAATTCTTCATATGTACAAGGCTGATTTAAGGAGACAGCAAGAAAAGGAAAAGGGGAAATCACCACTTTGTAAGAATCCAGGCTGAATGCTGGCTCAGATCTGCTGTGGAAAGCATGTTAATACAGAAGTCACCTAAGCACAACCCCTAGAGTTCTCTTTGAGAGGCAGGACAGCACAATGAACTCAGCACCACACAACAGGAGTCAGGAGACCTGGGTTCTATTTCCAGTTCTGCCACTAACGGGCTGTGTGACCGCAGGGAAGTCACTTAACTGCTTTGTGCCTCAGTTTCCCACCCCCTCACCCGCCAGTAAAGTGGGGGTAACAATAGTCACCCATCTAGAAGCCCATTAAAGGGAAAGAAAGAATATCAATAACCCAATATCTAAGACGAAGCTGCAAGCTTCATGGGCCATAAGCCTTAATATCTTGATCCTGATATTCATGCCACTGCACTAAAGGGAAGGGCAGCTGCAATCTTCTCCCTTTTATGGAAGTTAAAGGCAGCCCTCCAACTTCTGGAACACTGTCCATGTGACCGTTGGCTGGCCAAAGTTTGGGTGCCCATATCCCAGGAGGTTTAGGAGCATGCTGAATTCTAGCAGAACAAGGAATGCTGGTGCCTTTCTTACAGGATACAATCCAATAAAAAGCAAAGCTGTGAAGAAAATCCTTCTGCACTTTCAAAGCCCAGTCACAAAAGCTGACCTACAGTCCTGCCCACTTTGAGTAATCCACACAATAAATCAAGGTAACTTTTTCTCAGCCAGGGCCTTGCTCTCTTTGGCAGCAATCTCCAGCTCTTTGTCATGCTTGGAGCTAGCGTCTGTGAGCAGAGCATCAGCAATGCAACAGTAAACACCTGGAGCACAGCCACAATAAGTCTTCCAGGCAGGCAGAATTGGCCACCACTCAGTTACTCCTGGGGGAATTCTGTGCCACTGCGCGCGTGCAGAATTCATGTCCCCGACAGATTTCTTTGCTTCCCCGCACAAAACTTACTCTCTGACGGGGAAGCAAAGGGAAGCCGCAAGAGCAGTCACGTGCCACTCCCCAGCAGTGTGCGTGCATCGTTTCAGGTGCCAGAAGCAGCTAGCAGAGGCGTTAATTACTGGGGAAAGGACTGGGGATGCCCCGGCCAGTGGCTTCTATCCAGCTGCTAGTCCCAGCTGGGCTGGGGAGGATGGGACTTCCTCTTCCCCTGCAAGGAGCAGCCAGGACTAGGTCAAATCCAGCCCCAGAAACCTCTCCAGCTGCAGGAAGCTCCACACCCCTCTGTTTCCTGCCTCCATTGCTCCTGAGCTATGGGGGGAAGGGTCACTGAGCTATTGGGGGAGGGGGCACAGATCGCCCCACCAAACCTCACCCCCGTACCCAGAACCCCCCCACCGAGCCCCACCTCCCTGCATCCACACCCCATCCTTGCACCCAGACTGCCACCTGCAACTGAACTCCCACTCCAGAAGCCCCACCCTACCTGCACCACTCTGACAAGCTCCCTGCACCCACACCCCACTGAGCCATACCAAGTCAGCACACAGACCCACCCCATGAAGCCAGCACTCAGACACCCCCCATGAGCTCCAACCACCTTCACCTTGACCCCCCTGCAGAGTCCCAGTACCTCTGCACCTAGAACCACCCCCAACAAGCCCATTCATCCAGATCCCCCCTCACCCAGATCCCTCACCAAGCCGCCTGCACCCAGATTGCTCCAAACAGAACCCCATCATACCTGAATCTCCCCACATTAAGCCCCTCCACACTTGGATCCTGCTGGACTGAGTCTGCCTGCCTCCATACAGCTAGTGTGATTGGCACGGTGGGGCGGGGCCCTGGGGTGTTTCTGGGGCAGGCCTGACCCTTACAATGTGTCAGGGTCAGCTGCAGCCTTACCGCCGAGTCCATGTCTGGGGTGGAGGGTGGGCTGCAGGGTGATCTCCCACCTCTGTGCCTGGGCTCCCATTGCCATGCTGGAGCCTCCACATTTATTGCTTGACAAATAAAAATTGCAAAATTTTGCAGACTTTTAAAATTTTGGGCGCAGAATGCCCTCAGGAGTAACTCAGGGCAGGCTGACCCATACAGTGCTTTCTAGCCCACTTTTAAGGGTGTGTCTACACTGCCGCTGGGAATGAGCCTCCCAGCCCGGGTCCATAGTCTCACACTAGCATGCTGAAACAGCTGTGTAGATGCTGCAGCTTGGGCCAGACCTCAAGCTCTGGGCCTGGGTGGGGTGGGGGGGCTTGAGAGCCTGAGCCACAACAGCTACACAGCCAGCACAAGTCTGTGGACCAGGGCTGGCAGACTTGCTCCCAGTGGCAATGTAGACATGTCCACTATGGTTCAAGTTACAGGGCCTCCCCTGTTCCTTTACCAGACTTGTCCATGTTCTCAGACCTCACTACTGGAAATGTTGCTGGATATTCACCCTGTGGTTCTCTCTGCTCAGTATCCTCACCACCACCACTCTCTGCCTCTGCGGCACAAGATTGTGGGGTAGATGGGAACAAGCTCTGGAGAGTAGTCTTGAAGTTTCTAACACTCATGCTGCAAATTGGCACGGGTACTGTCCAGGGACCCTCTAGCTCCATTAACAGAGAAATGCTAGGGACTGTTTCTCTAAAAGCATCCAGGGAGCATTTTTTAGTTTTACTAACATACAGGCTATTTTTCCCATTTTAAATGTTTGACATTTAAGATTATGGCTTCTGCTTAACTTCACCTGGGCTCCACGGTAATAAAACTGCTGAACCAGTACATTAAGAGAGCCCCTGCTAGACTGTCCCCCCCACCACAGAACTGGGGACAGAGTATTTTAGCATACTAACCATACACCATAAGAGATTGATCGGGTTACAAGTGATATGGCTTCCTGGACTAGTCTCTCATAGACCACGGCCCACATTACAGAGCTAACAATTCACAGGATGACTGACAATCTTCTCCGGGACTGGACTAGCAGAGGATGCTGAAGTTGGGCACTTAGCTAGTGGGTAAAACTAGGTAGCAGTTCAGGACTGGTGTAGCAGGGGTCACTGGAAAGGCCACAAAGACAGGATTGGGGAGGTGCATTGGCAAGGCTGTGCAGGGAACCTGCAGCGTCCACCAGCCCTGTCTCTTGGCCATCTTTATTAGAATCAAATGTACTTTTTAAAAATGTACTTTTTAAAAATAATGAATCTCCCTCTCCCCAAAAAGAGCACAACTGGATTCTAAGCCAGGGCAGGTCTCCAACAGCTAGATCACTCCCCACTGTATTTTCCACTGAATGCATCCGATGAAGTGAGTTGTAGCTCATGAAAGCTTATGCTCAGATAAATTTGTTAGTCTCTAAGCCCTGGTCTACACTAGGAGTTTAGGTCAAATTTAGCAGCATTAAATCGATGTAAACCTGCACCCGTCCACACGATGAAGCCCTTTTTTTCGACTTAAAGGGCTCTTAAAATCAATTTCCTTAATCCACCTCTGACAAGTGGATTAGCGCTTAAATCGGCCTTGCCGGGTCAAATTTGGGGTACTGTGGACGCAATTAGACGGTATTGGCCTCCGGGAGCTATCTCAGAGTGCTCTATTGTGACCGCTTTGGACAGCATTCTCAACTCAGATGCACTGGCCAGGTAGACAGGAAAAGGCCCGCGAACTTTTGAATTTCAATTTCCTGTTTGCATGGTCACCTGCAGCTTGCCACGCTGGCCAGAGCTCATCAGCAGAGGTGACCATGATGGAGTCCCAGAATCGCAAAAGAGCTCCAGCATGGACCAAACGGGAGGTACGGGATCTGATCGCTGTATGGGGAGAGGA